CTTTTTTGGATGTTTCTTCCTAGTTTATCGCTAATGTTTCAATCTGAACAGCGCGTTCAGTAACTGGGGAAAGCGCACACTCAGGACAACTCCAAACTAGCCCCTTGCATGCACTTCTGGTAATCATGAGAAGAATTGTCAGATCTTCTTTAAACCTAATGATTTTTCGGAAGAAAAAGGAGACTAACAAAAAGCCTATAAAAGTCAATGCTTACCCATTCATGGAAGGGCGAATGTTTTGAACAATGAACATTTGTTTTGAACATTTGCGTCTGCCCCTAAGGTGCAGTACTTGTAGAACTTTTGGCTTAAGCAACAGAATGGACTGACAATTTAGTATCAGTAAAACGTGAAGCGTTTTGCTCTTCATTGACGAAATAGGAAAATGCTAAAAATCCCATTTGGGTGAAAACAAAATTTGGGTGCTTCGAAATTTTTGTAGTACTTTGCGAAAAAACTAGGCTTGGTGGCGCGGGCCAACTGACCATTGACTAGATATCGAATATCTTTTTGCGAAGCGTTTCGTAGGTAGCTTAGGATTTCTCAGAAGTAGTTGTTCTTAAAAAAACAGTTAATAGTTGAGGGTTGTCAGATCTAGTCGATAACATGGTATGCATACTGATGATATTCTCAAAGGTTGTTCTTTTCGCATAGCATTGCTTTCTTTCGCCCATCATGACTGCAGTCATTCTATGAACTGTTTTAGCGGTGCGCACTATCACTGAGCAAATGCCGCAGCGCCAAATTCATGGGCAAAATCCCGTGATTCTACCATACACTAAGGCCTCTTTGAATCGTTTGGACGAGGCAACATCGAAAATGCAGAGTCGACCGGATACCAAACAAAGCAAAAAGGTTGTTAATTTGTTTTGCCCATCCACGTCCCTTCTTCTATTATACGTTATTCAAGGATGAAGCGTGCATGAACATGGGTACCATCCGAATAGGCACTGCAGGCGGGCCAACTGGACCTCCACCAATAATGGGGCCTAGAATGGGTACTGTTGGACCTATGGCCACTGGGCCAATGCCTATGATGCAAATGAGAACAGGCCCTGGCGGTCCGCCCATGATGAACGCTGCACCTATGGGAGGACCGGCTCCGATGGGACCAGGCGGAATGATAAACAGAGGCCCGGTGATGATGGGTCAGCCTGTGAATCAGGTGATTTTTTTTTCTAGAGGTGGAGGAAGGTGTATGGTTTGATTTCAGGGACCAATGATGGCTCGCACTATGGGACCACCAGGAGTGGGGA